TAAAAATTGTCTGAAAGAAAAATACTTGGACTGCTGTCTAAATTTAAAATTGTTTACAAAAAAAGAAAAACTTCAGCTCTTGGATAATCTTTTCAAGGATAATTTACAGGAAGGACTTAAGGTGGCTAAACCTACTGAATTGCAACTTTGACTGATTGATAATTGACCCCTGAATAAAAAAAACCTGTTACAAAATACTGCCTTCACTGAGGCCTTGATAATTGAAAATATATTGGACTACAAAAACTATATATAAAGATAAGAGTTATATGAAATTGGGTTGTGTGACTTTGAGATTGATAGGTTGGATAACTAATTATAGAAACTAAAATATTGATGAAAGACTATTTGAAGGGGGGAGACAACATGGATATCGTACATATCAAAAAATGACAAGACACCACACTCAGTATTTACCACTAAAGATTTAACCTGGAACATCAAAGACTTCCAGAAGCAATATTTCAAGGCAAGACAAATACTTTCCAGGAGGAAATGTACGTAATGTTACCACAGTTACAAATGACAATAGATTTAAACCACGAGGAAATCAGAAATAACTTTGATGACATAAATAAGCACATCTGTAATCTAAATCTACAATCAAAAAACACCCAGAAAATGATGGCGAAAGAATAAACAAATCAGATAATAAAACACAAACTAGAAGAACATGACCAAATCAACAAGCTATAAACAATTTAATACAAATAGAAAAAAATCTACAAGACTTTGACATAATAACAAAAATGGAATGGACTATAGAATTCCCAAGTGAATCAACAGAGTTTGGGAGACAGAAAGTATATATTTTACCTATACTATCTTCTTTACTCCTAATAAAACTTACAAAAACACAAGAACTGCAAGGTAAGGGGAATATATTAACTTGGAAAGCTACTTGGCAAAAGAAGAAGGCAAGAGACAGATTCAAGAGATTTGACTCACCCCACCAGATGGAGCATTACATGAGCAAAACTTGTTTGAATATGGCTAAAAGAATAGAGAACTTTGAAGATAAAGGGGCTCTACAACAAGAGGGATAAGAGATTTAAATAGTATAGTATGTTTTACAACATATGAAATGTAAAAATATTGGGATTTATATGCTGATACTATAAGATAGATAAGAAATACAGTATTTTTATAACATGAAATATGAAAATATTGGGATGGTGTACTTAAATAGAAAAATTTGGATATTTAGATGACTAACATTGAGAAAATCATGATTGATAAGAATGGATTGAATATAAAGGAGAAATTAAACTTAAAACAAAAACTACGAAAATAGGATACATGGTGAACTAATGAGATGATGTCTATAAGAATAATATAAACTGATGATAAGTTATCATTATCTGTATAAACATGAAAAACTGTTTATATTTATTTATACAAAGAAAATATTAAGAATTATATCTGTTTAAGGTTGAAGAAGGAGAATATAATTGGGAGAAGGGAAGATCAAAGAAATATATTATTAATTAATATACTAATTATGGAATTATCAAAATCAATCATTATTGACTGTTAATTAATTATTACTGTCTTTTTTTTCAAATATATAAACCAAGACATCATGCTGTACACCAGGCACTGGAGATTGTTATTTTAAAAAAGAAATAAAATATTTTTTAAAAAATATTTTAAGGCAAGGTGATCACCCAGATGCTGTATAAAACTGAGACTGGGACTAGAATGTTATTGTCCAATTGGACAGGAAGGTTTTAGATTCTCTCCAGGTATACTTGCCTTTTTAAGAACAGAGTTAAGGCCAGTCTCCATCATGGCCAGAATATATCTTTTATTGTTGGGGCACTTTGAGAAGTTTGAAAAAAAACTCAAGAATCCCATTTTTCAAAGTCTGTTTTCTCAATTGCTAAGTTGGGAACCAATGGAAGAACTTTATCACCCATCTTACAAATGTACCTTTGAAAAAACATGTTTCTTGGAACAGAGAAAATATTAGAGATTGGCTTTTTAAAAGTAATGTCAATAAAGATGCCACCGTAGTATAAACATCCACATTTTCATCTTGGTCTCACTATTGTAAAATATATAAAAGCCTCTCCCAGTACCTAGTTAATACTACCAGTGCTTTGCTGCAATAAGCTTTAATGTCCTTTTACTTGCAGATTGTATTCTCCACATATCTTGAAGGGAGATTTTGTAAGCTCCCTGTCAAATAAGGTCTCTTTCCATGGAATGGAACAACTCACCACAGTCAACTCCTATGGGATCCCAAAGATGCTTTTCAAAAGGCAACTGAACTTTCTAGTTTTTTCCTTGAAAATGTTTTGCTTCTCATCCAAGAAACTTCTTCAGTTGAATGGTGGGGAATGGAAGGATTTATATTCTTCAAGTCATTACTTTTGTTCTGCTGTCATTTAACAGAATAACAGAGTTGGAGGAGGCCTTAGAGGTCTTCTAGAACATAAAACATAGAATAACAGAGATGGAAGGGACCTTGGAAGTCTTCAAGTCCAACCTCCTGCTTGAACAAGAGACCCTATACCATTTCAGACAAATGGTTGTCCAGTCTCTTTTTGAAAGCTTCCCGTGATGGAGCAACTACAACTTCTGAAGGCAAGCTATTCCATTGGTTGACTGCTCTCACAGTTAGGAAATTTCTCCTTAGTTCTAGTCTAATCCCCAGCTCAAGCAGGAGACCCTATACCATTTCAGACAAATGGCTCTCCAATCTCTTCTTTAAAATCTCTAGTTAAAAAGCACCTACAACATCTGAGGCAAGCTGTTCCACAGATTAATTGTTCTCATTCTTAGGAAATTTCTCCTTAGTTCTATGTTGGAACTTTTTTTTGATAAGATTCCATCTTGCTTAAGGGTAGAGCATCTTCTCCTGCCTTCAGGTGCTGTGAAGAATAGGTTGACCACCTCTTCTTTGTGACAGCCTCTTCGATGTTAGAAGACCGCTATCATGTCACCCCTAGTCCTTCTCTTCATTCAACTAGACATACCCAATTCCTGCAACCATTTAGCCTCCAGTCCTCTCATCATCTTTGTTGCTCTTCTCTGCACTTTTTCTCGGGTCTCAATATTTTTTTGTATCATGGTGACCAAAATTGGATGTAGTTGTAGTATTCCAAGTATGGTCTCATCAGTGCAATATGAAGTGGCTCTAGCACCTCACATGATCTTGATACTATCCTTCTGTTGATTGGCATTTTTGGCAGCTGTAGCACACTCTTGGCTCATATTTAAATGGTTGTCCACTAGGATTCCTACATCCCTCTCACAGTTACTGCTATTGAGTAAAATACCATCTATTCTATATAGTATTTGTGCATTTGGTTCTTGCCTACCTGTAAAAGATTACTTTTTTCACCACTAAATTGCATTTTGTTGGATAGGACCCAGTGTTCAAGTCTGTCAAAATTCTTTTGGATCTTGAGCTATCTTCTAAAGTGTTGACTACTTCACCCAAATTGATATCCTCTTCCAGTCTGATGAGTTTTCCTTCCATCTCTTCATCTAAATCAGGAGTGTCAAACTGCCAGCCCGCAGGCCCGATGTGTCACAAGCAAACCACACCCACCCCATTGCCGGCAATGGGGGGAAAGCTCCGATACGTCACGTGACGTGGCAAGTTTGACATGTCTGATCTAAATCATGTATGAAGATGTTGAAGAGAACTCATTTTAAGACAGAACTTTGGGGTACCCCACTGCATGTTTTTCTCCGTGTACATGTAGCTCCATTGAGGACTACATGTTGAGTGCGGTTGATCAGCAAGTTAAGAATCCATCTAATGGCGATGCTGTCTAACCCACATTTTTCTATCTTACCAAGTAGCATCTTATGGTCTACTTCAGGAGTCTTCAAACTTGGTCCTTTTATGACTTGTGGACTTCAACTCCCAGAATTCCTCAGCCAGGCACACTGTGAAGTCCACAAGTCAAAAAAGGTTTGAAGCCAGCCAGGTTTGAAGATCCCTGGTCTACTTTGTCAAATGCCCTACTTTTAAAATTTGAAAGAAATAAAGCCTTGGCTTTATTTTGTTGTTTCTGTTTATATCTAATACTCATTGTATTACTTTATTTCATAATTTTATTGTTTTACTGTTATTTTATTCTATTGTAGAGCAAACTATATTTTATGATCTGTGGTTACAACAATAAACTTGATAAATTGATTCTTACTGGTATTCATCTTGAGGGAGATCCTTAGAATTCATACATTGTTTTGTACAGTTTTATATTTTTTATCCTATAATAATCCTGCCTGGACTTCTGATTAGGAACAGATGTAAAAATGTAATATAAATAAATAAGTTAATTTTACCTGTGCTTGTTTAGATTTAGACAATACTACTTCTAGATACTTCTCAATTTTCAATCACAATTGGAACCAGAATTTCTGTTGCTGAGCAAGTTGATTGTTAAGTTAGGCATATACAGTTTTAAATCTTTTCTTTGCCACAGTTGTTACATGAATTACTGCAACTATTAAGTCAATTACTGCAGTTGTTAAATGAATTATATGGTCGCTAAGAGAATCTGACTTCCCTCACTGACTCTGCTTGTGTGAAGTCAGCTAGGAAAGTTACAAATGGTGATCATATGATTCTGGGGCATTACCACTATTGTAAATATATGCTATTGTAATTTTGATCAGGTGACTATGAGGATGCTGCAAAGGTTATAAGGGTGGACCAGATTGGTTGTAAATCACTTTTTTAGTGTTTTTGTAATTGTTGCTAAACAATGGTTGTAAGTTGAGGACCACTTATAATGTTTTAGGAACAGGAGAATCTGTTCTCCAGGTATTCTCTGGGTGTTGCTGAATTAGATTATGCAGGACCAATTGTGGAGGCTAATGAGGTTGGAGATTAACAATTTTGCCATGAGGACACTTAAATCCTATATTCTGAAGAGGGACATGTCATATTGTTTCATTAAAAATTTTTATTACCAAAGTTATACTATGGTTAATAATAATTTCAACCAGCGAATGCAAAAAATTAAGAATACAAAACAGCCTCTTGAAAGAAATTTAATAATATGGTAAGCCAAAACTTGTTTCAGGAAATAACAATACAATCATTTGTTTTCTTATTTTTTTTAAAAAAAACCTTTTAATTTGTACAATAAGATTCCTGAGATTTAAATTAAACTAGCTATACTATGGTTATTTTTCTCAGTTTCAAAATTATCAGCATTCTTCTATGCAATTACACATCCTCCTTTCTCTTTAAAAGGGTTCCTGTCTTCAGGAATGCCTTTCACTAGAGGGTCTTCTTCTGATCTTTCTTCAATATAATTTTTAATTTCTTCAGAACACTTAGACACCTTAAGGAAAAAAAGAGAAAAGAAAAAAAACATATTTAAATCTCCTTTTGTAAAGGTAGGAAAGATTCCTTTCATATGCAGAATTTATGAAATTGAGAGAGAGAAGAACTGTTGCCTTGTTATGTATCATAACAAGCATACAGTAACTTGGTGTTTATGAAAAACCTTGCATAATGTTTATAATGAACGGTTGCATAATAAAATAAACAGCATTCTTTTCCCCATTTGCTGGATAAAACTCTCTTGTTGTTCTGTAATGATAAAAGTAAGCAGTATTTTTCCATACAAGGACAGCCTAAAGCTATATAAATTTTGTCACCGATTACCTTTGTAGGAATTCAGGTACCTGGCAATAACTGGTGGCACTGATAAAGTCAATAGAACCAGGATATAAATCAGCAGTGGGGATACATTTCATGCTGATAGGTTTGGTGTGGGGTTTTTTTTTTTTTTGGCCAACTCAGAGATGTATAGTATATGTAGATGTGGTAGGGTAGTCTAAGATATTAAAGGTCCAAGATATTTTGATATTTTAAAAACAAGACTTGAAAACTGAAATATTGTGAATTTGCAAACAAGGACGATACAAAAATTGGATAATACTCTCTGTAGAGACAGTCCTAGCTAAAATTCTAATTATGGGGTTTGGGCATGTTGTCAATATATACTGTACATAATATGGAAGATTCTAATACAAGAAGTGCCATACAGAATTGAGGTCACTGAAACACCATATTTGCATTAAATATATAAATTAAATATAAATTACATGGAAGAATAGAAATTCCTGGCATAATATAATCATTACTATATGAACTGTAGCTATTCTAAAATTTTATTTATAATGACTTCACTTAAGATTGACAAAGATATATATATACTATATGAAGGTGCCCTAAACCAACTTTGTTCAATTCAGATCCACTAATGGAAATGCTTGGATAATCTTTTATTTGAAAAACAAATTGAGAAGAATCCGTCAATGAGTCTGCTTGAGAAAGCATCTGAGAAAAAAATCATTTGTTCAAAAATCAGGGAAAATAGTTATTTTGTCAGGACTAGCAGAATTATATTTCTTTTATAAAGGGTAACATAAATACAGTTCAGGATTTACCAAAAGTTTAAAAGACATGTTTTAGAATTGTTTATTGTAGAAAGCATTTGTATATAGTTCTATTTCTTCTTTTAAAATCCTTAATTAACAAAAAAAGGTAAGTATTCTCTGCTTCCTTATTTAAGTGCCAGGTTTCCTGCTCATCAGATTTTTGTTGTTATTGTAAGATATTTTGATTAAAACATTTAGGAAAAGTCTTTTTGTTTATCACAGCTAAATAAGGTAGGTACCCAATTCTAGTGTCATGTATTTTAGCAATTAATCTGGGCACCAATAGATTATGCAAGCATTCTAAAAATATAAAGTTACAGTTTAGCACTTTTGTTAGAAGTGTGTTCACCTGTTTAGGAAAAAAAGGAAAATGTAATTTGCCAGTCAGTGCAATATTTTGGGGTCTATATAGGTTGTTCCTTTTAGACATCTGATTAGCATGTTCTGCGTTTGAATTTATATAAATTACATTGCAGTATTTGAGTTGTGTCATTGTTAGGATCTAATCCTGGCCACCATATTCAGAGCTGAATCCAACCTTTGAGAGTCTTAAGTAGAGTTTCTCAGCTGACCTATTGAATAGGTTGGATGATATCAGAGATAGAATCTCAGAAGTGCTTTATTCCAAAGTCAATTAAAGCTCCTCTCAATGGAAAAGTCTTCACAATTAGAGGAGATCTATGCCCCCAAACATTTTTTAGACAATGCTTAAAGACATACTCTACTCTGTTTAAATAAATAATAAATCTCAGTTCATACAGGAATTTATGGGATAATGTTCCAAGATCAAACTGCTGGTTTGATGGCTTTTAAAATGCTTATTGTTATATGTTTATATACTGTATTCTTTGTAGATGTTTAAATTTCACTGTTAATGTTTTTAAAGATTTGTATATGTGTGTGTGTGTGTGTGTGTATGTGTGTATTGATAGTATTGATTTGTGTGTGTGTGTGTGTGTGTGTGTGTATTGACTACTGCAACGTGCTCTACATGGGGCTACCCTTGAAAAGTATTCGGAGACTACAGTTGGTCCAGAATGCAGCCGCGCAAGTGATAGTGGGTGCTCCTTGATACACCTATCCTCCGTGAGCTGCACTGGTTGCCTATTGGTCTCCGGATCCAATTCAAGGTGTTGGTTATTACCTTTAAAGCCCTATATGGCTCAGGGCCAGGCTATTTGCGAGACTGCCTACTATCTCATAGTTCCCTTCGTCCGGTTAGATCCCATAGGCTGGGCCTCCTTCAGGTCCCGTCGGCCAAGCAGTGCCATTTGGCGGGGCCGTGGAGGAGGGCTTTTTCTGTGATGGTGCCCACATCTTGGAACCAGCTCCCCCCAGAGATTAGGACCGCTCCCACCCTGTTGGTTTTCCGTAAGCTGCTTAAGACCTGGCTTTTCCGGCAGGCCTGGGGTTTATAAAATCTGACCCCTGGATGACTGTTCTTGTACTGTTTGTTTTGTTATGTTTTGTGGTGTTTTTATTGTTAGCCGCCCAGAGTCCTCCGGGAGTGGGGTGGCTTATAAATTTTAAAAATAAAATAAAATAAATAAATAAAATAGATAGTGTATATGTATTGATTTATTTGCACCCTGATGATGTTGGCAGAAGCCAACGAAAGCTAGGTCTGCTTTTTAAAAAACTTTTAAATGTTTTATATTTAAACTTTTAACGTTTTATAAAACTTTTAATGTTTTAACTCTTCCTGGTGCTCACGTTTTATTCCCATTCGTCATCTTCAGGCTGGTGTTTTCAGCTTCGTTCTTCAAGCATGAAGCTGAAAACACCAGCCTGAAGATGACGAATGGGACTTTGTTGAAACGTCGCCAAGACACTTCCAATTTTACGTGGGAGAAAACCCGAATAAGCAAAGATAGATAGATAGATAGATAGATAGATAGATAGATAGATAGATAGATAGATAGATAGACACACACACATACACATAAACCAAATAAAAAAGAAAAAATGAACAGCAGGATATAATAAACCAGACTGTTTAATATAAACAAGCCTGTGGTTAAAAAAGAGTCACTAAGTTTTTGTCAGGCCAAACTGCCGATTCATCAGAGTTGGAGTAAAAGGAAGGCAGCTCATATAACCTCCTGCCTTTGCACCTGGTTCCTTGAGCATGTCATTGGCCTGTTGATTGTATTAATCCATACCGCGCAGAGTTGTTCCGCATCAGGCAAACTGTCTTTGGCTCTGCTAGTTGTTTTACAATCCTCAAGTGCTCTTTTAGAGCGTGTGCAAGCACTTGGAGGGCAGCTGTCAACCTGTCCCTGCGCCCAGTCTCCCTCCCTCCCAGGGCCATTATCCTCCCCCACCACCAAGGCCGTTGTCGTCTCACTCGTAATTCCTCTGCCCCAGTACTGCAAAAAGCAGTATTCTTGCATTCCTGCTCTCCGTCTTCCCCCTCTCTCCCCCTCCTTCCAGATCGCCTCTGCGCATCCATCCCCGGCTTGTTTATATTAAACAGTCTGGTTTATTATATCCTGGTGTTCATTTTTTTTTCTTATTCGCATTTTTAGTATTTTAAATACACACACACACACACACACACACACACACACACACATATTAGGTCTTTGGTTATTCGGGTTTTCTCCCGCATAAAATTGGAAGTGTCTTGGCGACATTTCGACGAAATCTCATTCGCCATCTTCAGGCTAGTGTTTTCAGCTTCGTGCTCCTAGAAGCAATGTGAGGTTGTAGCTGTTTCTTCCTTTTAACTGCCAGTGGGAATATGAACTGATTGGGTGGGAGCTTGGCTATGTTCTGATTGGGTAGAGGTGTGTTCTGATTGGTTAGGGGCTTGGCTGTGCTCTGATTGGATGGGAGGTTGACTGTGCTTTGATTGGATGGGGGAGTGTTCTGTTTGGGTGGGGGCTTTGTTGTGCTCAGGTTAGTCTGAGTTGCAGGGGTATTTGAGATAGTGAGCTGCATTACCATTGTTTGGCTTCGTGTTCATGGACGTGCCTCATCTTCATGGTGGGTGTCAGTTTGCTTCCTGTATGGATTGAAGGGGTTTAAAGTGGTTAATGATGCAGCTGTGGTCCGGTTTCTGGTTTGTGGTCATGCCTCATCATCAGTGTGCGTTTGGGTTTGCTTTTTGCGTGGATGTGTGGTGGTGACATCCTGTGTGGTTTTTGTGAGTGTGAGTCTGGTGTCATTCTTTGTGTTAGGGCAGCGGTTATCAACCTATGGGTTGCGACCCCATTTGGGGTCGATCGACCATTTCACGGGGGTCGCCAAGCATGGCTGTCTGCCATTTTTTCTCCTTTTCCGGTGGGTGCATTACCTCCCTTGGGCTGGGCCAGCTGGTGGTCAGCCTTCTCCGTCTCTGCCGCTTGCCAGCTACGCCTCGGCTGGCACAGGGGGCGGCACCACGCATGCATGGTGCTCCCGGGCAGGGAAAGTCCTTGACTAATGACCAATTGGATAGTCCTCAACTTACGACCAGTTTAGTCCTCGACTTACCACTGGTTTAGTCCTTGACTTACGACCAGTTGGGGGTCACGGCATTAAAAAGGTTGAGAACCACTGTGTTAGGGACTCGTTTGTCACTAAGGGCGAGTTTCCAAATGGCTGGTAGGTGGGAGGTATCATCTCGTTTATTCATGCTGTGTGGGCGTTTTTCTATCTCAATGGCTTCTCTGATTATTCTGTTATTAAAGTGTTCAGTTTTGGCGATAGTTCTGGTCTTTTTAAAGTCAATTTGATGTCCTGTGGCTTTAAGGTGTTGGACCAGGGAAGAAGTTGGTTCCTCTTTTTTGACTGAGTTCTTATGTTCTTCAATGCATGCACTTATTCTTCTGTTGGTTTGTCCAATGTATGTAGTGGGACAAACAGTGCATGGGATTTCATATACTCCTTGATTTTCTAACTCAATTTTGTCTTTGGGGTTTCTTAGGATGGTGGATATTTTTCTGTTTGTGCAGAATGCTGTCTTGATGTTGCGTTTATGGAGGATCTTGCTGATTCTGTCTGTGGTGCCTTTTATGTATGGGAGGAGGGCTTTGCCGTTTCTTGTTCTCTGTCTTGGATTTTAGTGGGGATTTCTTTTTGGATTAGGTTTGTAATCTTATTTCTTTGGAATCCATTGGATGTTAGTACATTAGTGAGAGTGTGTAGTTAGGTTTTTAGGTGTTGTTCATCAGCTAAGCGTTTTGTTCTAGAGATGAGTGTCTTGGCTACGGAGTTGATCTGTGCTGGGTGGTGGTGTGAGAGAGCGTGCAGATAGCGGTTTGTGTGTGTTTTCTTCTGGTAGATGGTGTGTCCTAGGGAGCCATTGGATTTCTTGTAGACTAAGACATCCAGGAAGGGAAGTTGTTGTTAGCTTCTGTTTCCATGGTGAACTGTATTTTGGGGTGTAGGCTGTTGAGGTGTGTGAGGAAGTTGTCCAGTTTTTCTTTCCCATGTGGCCAGATTATGAAGGTGTCGTCTACGTATCTGAGCCAGAGTTTGGGTTTGTGATCAGACTTTTCTAGAGCTTGGGTTTCAAAGTGTTCCATGTAGAGATTTGCAATGACAGGTGAGAGGGGTGATCCCAGGGGTGCTCCTTCTATTTGTTTGTATTTTTGTCCATTATAGATGAAGTATGTGTTGGATAGGCAGTGGTTGGTCAGATCTAGGATGTGTTTGGGGGGTTATATTTGTTTTGGATAGCTGTAAGGACTTCTTTGATTGGCACTTGGGTGAAGAGGGATATGACATCGAAGCTCACGAGTAGGTCGCTGGGCTGTAAATTGACTTTAAAAAGACCAGAACTATCACCAAAACTGAACACTTTAATAACAGAATAATCAGAGAAGCCATTGAGATAGAAAAACGCCCACACAGCATGAATAAACGAGATGATACCTCCCGCCTACCAGCCATTTGGAAACCCGCCCTTAGTGACAAACAAGTCCCTAACACAAAGAATGACACCAGACCCACACTCACAAAAACCACACAGGATGTCACCACCACACATACATGCAAAAAGCAAACCCAAACCCACACTGATGATGAGGCATGACCACAAACCAGAAACCGGACCACATCTGCATCATTAACCACTTTAAGCCCCTCCAATCCATACACGAAGCAAACTGACACCCACCATGAAGATGAGGCATGACCATGAACGCGAAGCCAACCAATAGTAATGCAGCTCACTATCTCAAATACCCCTGCAACTTAGACTAACCTGAGCACAACAAAGCCCCACCCAAACAGAACACTTCCCCATCCAATCAGAGCACAGCCAACCCCCCATCCAATCAGAGCACAGCCAAGTCCCTAACCAATCAGAAATATAAGTATCTTGCTCTATAAATATCGCAATTGGGCATCATTCAAAAACAGCACAAATATTAAACACAGTGTTAATATATATTTTAATACATCCTGGTACTCACATTGCCACTGAATTAATTTTAAAAATTTGTCATTTCTGCTAATGCACTAGCAATGCTATACTTATCTACTTTATTACATATTCAGGAAATACATGGTTGTTCAGTTTTCTGGAAACAATTTTCCTAGTCAGGTAAATGCCTCATTTTTATGTCATGAAAATTATCTATCATAGCAATCACAATTCTGAATACTGCTAAGAACGCTTTTTTTCCTTTTGACCATTCATTTCTTTCATGCTGTTCTATAACTTGACCCCTTAAGTCTTATATTTAAGCTATAAAACATCCCCAAATTAACTCACTGCTTGTACAACCCATAATTAGCCTTTTCACGCTTCTTTCCTTTCCTGATAATTATAGGTTTTCTTTAAGCTGTGTATGTGTCATCCATTTTGCCATGAATATTTAACAGACATTCTCCACAGTCAGTTATTCCCAGGCTGTGGTTGGGATTACAGATAGGAAGGAGAAGGTAGTGAGAACCAGTAGAAAGAGCCCAAGGCATTTTGGTCCCTTCCCCAAAAATCCCATTCTGGATTGTAAAATATAATAAATTAACTATAGACTAGTTATGGGTAAACAAAACAGACCTATAAATAATGAAAATGCTATCACCAGCAGTATCCTAGGCATTTTAGTGCCCAAAGTAAGAAAATGCTAAAAGTCCCACTTTTGGTTATTAAATATAGTAATATATTAAATTGGTTCACCAGCTTTGCTTCTCATAGGCATGGCGAAAGAAAGAAAGAAAGAAAGAAAGAAAGAAAGAAAGAAAGAAAGAAAGAAAGAAAGAAAGAAAGAAAGAAAGAAAGAAAGAAAGAAAGGAATATGAACAACTCACAAAAGGATAATCTCAGTGAAGGCTGATTGTATTCATTGGGTACAGCCTGCTATCTGAGAATACTACTATAATGCTACAGTAAGAAATGAATAGAAATAGAGGAATAAGTGAGAGAGGAAAGAATCAGGAAAGTAAAGATGAGCAATCTGCCTAACAAGTCATGTCTTGTTAGAAGATCCATTTATCATTAACTAACAGATAATTTATCAGGTAATTTAAAAAAGCATTATCAGAATGACATCAATAAAAATAAGAGGACAAAAAGCAACTTGTACATCAAATGTATCCCTGATATGAAAAAAAATAAACAAGAATGCTTCTAATGCTTCTAAAAGCTAAACAAACCTGTGACTGTACGTTTTAAGAAATTTTTAGTCACATCAGGCTGATCTTTTTAACAATGGAATACAATATAAACTATGTCTACTCATTTACTTGAAAAAGATTGTGGGGTGTGGAGGGGAGAGGTAAGCATTTATTAGTCTAGTAAATCCTTCTTTATTCTACAGCTTTGTCAAAATAAAATGTGCAATAAATCTACCAGTAGAAAATATTTGCCTCAGCTCCAATGCATTTATAACCCACATGGAATACATTGCAAAACAGATTTTTTTTTCAACACACACACAGCCACTGAAAACACTGAAATCCTGTTCTTAAAAGTCAGAAGTCAAGAGAGAAAACCATTAGGGTGAACTACTTACAGGTTGCCTTTCCAATTTGACTTCTTTTCGGAGTTGTTCTACTTCCATTTTCAATTTATCCTTCTCACTTAGATCATCTATATTGATTGCTGGCATTGCTGGGTTGGAGAAAAAAGAAAGTGTGAGTTTAGTGGTATATATGTCTGTCTCTATGTGTATGTGTGTGTGTAAAAAAGTAAAATAAGATTAAGAGAATACAGCTGATGAAGGAAAATCCTTACTTTTTGTATGAATTCCTCCTTATTTCTCTAAAGTAGCTGTTTCTTTTTCTGCTAGCTCTCTCAAGCTCCTAGTAACCATTTGAAGGATTTTAATTCATCAGCAGTATTTATCCAAATCTGATTACGCCACAAAAATTGCCCCCTCCCCTTCTAGTTTTTATTGCTTCAAACCAAAATGAGGCCTTCCACATTCATGGAAAGCCAGCCAATCTTCCTTCATGTGTCTTCATGCCATGCCTAAATTTGCTAAAATAGCTCTAACAGAAAACACAGACATGAAAAGAATCAGTTCCGACTACATGGAATTTTGAACTGCTCAGAAACAGGAGAGTTATTATAGAAAAAAAAAATCTCCTTGAAAAAGTTAATCTGGGATTGGCATACCTGTTTACACTACACAAAGACCTTTGAGTGTAAAATGTCTTCCATCCATGAAGGGAGCATGGAATGAGTTATGAGGAGTGGCTGAGTAAAGAGAAGAAAGCTATTAGAGGCAGGATGTGTGCTTCGCCTTTTGTTACAATGGAAATACCAACTATGGTGAGAGTTCCACAGGAAACAGGTTTGCTAAGGAAACATCTGGTTGTTTCCCTGTGCCAAGCTGGAGGACCTAAACAATGGGGGTGTTTGGAAAACTAACATGGGAAAATAGGGAAAGGCAAGCACACAGAAAAGCTTGTCCCTCTAGGCACATGTCCTATATTACTCATTTAGATGGAAGTTCATTTAAGTGAGTGCCCTATGGAATGCCTTTGGACTTACTTCCAAGGAGGCATATATGGGAAGGTTCATGTTTCCAACGCTTCACTTCAATCAACTTATTATAAAGATGCCCTTTTTTTTTGTATTTACAATACCCAAAATGGTGATTCCAAATTTGTATTTTTGTTGTTGTTGTTTGCATAAATTGTTTGCAGGTTTTGTGTCCCCATTCTCACTCTTTATTTTAACTACCCCTGGAACTTGCACAGAATAACCGCAGGACCTCATATTATGAAAAAAAAAAAATACAAAAACTCTGGTCAGTGCAAAACTCCATAGCAAAATAGCTATAACTTGGAATAAGACAGTTTCCAATGATTCTAAAATCATTGGACTGTGTAGCATTTTCCTTATGGCCAATATTTGTTTTAATATTCCAGGGGTATTCAGACAATATTGCCTATAATTTACAACATGCAAATGAACTATAATTTGCTGAATTAACCCAAAGTTGGATTAAGTTTGCACATCACTTATACATAGACTACTGAACAACATTTTGATGTGTTGTATAAATACCATTGGAGGGTATGATTTCATAAAGTTGTGAAATTACAGCTCATCCTTCCCCACATTAAGATGAAAGCTAGAATGCCATTACCAAATAAAAAAAGATAATCTCACCATGACTTTGTTTACAGGAAACAACCTATTCCATTTAATTTTCACCTTCACACTGAATTATAACCAAACTGCATAGATTAGAGTTATAGAAGCACAATGTAAGTAAAAAAGGCAGACTAGTTGTCAACTGTGCTATCATATAAATACAGCCAAAGAGAAAACAGATAGGAATTATTTTCCTACCTTCTCCCAAGCAAGGAGATAATGCTCTGGAAAGCCAGAAAAGCTTCTAGAAGTGTCTTGTTAGAGGGTTTCCATGCCTGATAGGGAAGATTTAAGGGCTATATTCAACCCCCACAGAGGCAGGCTGCAATATGACTATAGGTTTCTTATTCATAATGGTTGACTGTGGAGTTCTTATAACGGTAACTTTGATGAGATAAATCAGACACTTTGAAAACCAGCACAAAGTATCAAATGAAACATATAATAAAATATTAATGTATTAATGTGTATTTATTGGTCCTTTAATTAGATGCTTAGAGTTTATCTGTTTGTTTATATCCAGCCTTTATTATTTTTTCAAATAGCTCAAAGCGGCGAACATATTCAACACATATTCCTTCTATTTTCCCCACAACAACCTTGTGTACTGAGAGAGAATAATTGTGCTAAAATCACCAAGTTAAGGCAGTGTTTCAGCAGCCTGCCCTTAACAATTTATCACAAGGCCTGACTAATGAAGTTCCCTGTTTCTTTACTCCTGAACTAGTAAAGAAAATATCAATTTTATTAGTTTTGCTGTCCCTTGAAAAAGGAAAGTAGCAGTACTCTTGTCAAATTCTCCTGGCTAAAGAAAAATAAAAAGTTGTGGCTTCAGAATGGATTTTTTTAAAGCAGAGCTTTTCAATATTCCTTGGTTATTTGGGGGGAAGATTGTTGTGGGCACAGGAGTCATGCCTATACAGTGCACAGTAGCGAGCTGGAGTAGAAGTGTTTGCCTGCAATTAAATGAAGATACTGTACACATTGGATAATGATGGGTAAGCCAATACAATTCAGAAAACACTATTTTTGTCATAACAGGAAAATGTGATTGTAAGTTGATTTTCTGGTAGGCTGGATGACAAAGAGGATAATGCCATGTATTCCTGTCATCAAAAAAGGGTAAGTAGCCAATACAGTGGGGCAAACTAGTCGTGCAGATTATCTCTAGCATCCACAGGCTAGCCAATGATATGATTATAGCATATTCATACAGTAAGATACTGTATGACATTAAAAACTGTTGGTGGAGGAGGAAATTAATCTCAGATTGAAAACAGAAAGAACCTCTTGGTGTCTTGGTTTGTTTTTTGCTGGGAAAACTTCCAAGCAGAAATGCTTATTATGAAAGCAGAAATAACTTAATGGCATAGGGTGAGGTTATTTGAGGATCTACTTGTTCCCATGATTTCTTCCCACTCAGTAAGATTGGCACAATATAGTCAATGCACTTTGAATCCTGTTAATTAAACAATACCATCTGTCAGGATTTCCAAATGTGCCTTCTTTGTTGTATATGCATTCTCCTTATGAATGAGATGCATATACATCCCATTCTTGTGATGTTAAGTCTTAAAAAACAGCTGGTCTCCCAAGCTTCAGGTAGTATGCTTATGGAGCCCTGCCTGTGGTGGTTTGTTTTTATTTCTAGGTATGCAGGACATGGATACTTTAATTTTTTTTATTTTTTCTTTTCTACTTTTAATGTAAGCCACCCCACTAGAGTAGGGTAGCCTCTACATCACCACCACCACCACCACATCATTGTCATCATAACTACTAAGAAAATGATACTACTATTACTTAGCACCAGTTTTTGTAATGGTTCAGGCATCAGGCTAGAAATCAGGAGATTGTGAGTTCTAGTCCAACCTTAGGCATGAAACTAGCTGAGTGATCTTGGACCAGTTCCTTTCTTCCTAGGAAGCAAGCAATGGTAAACCATTCTGACAACCTTGCCAAAAAAAAGCTGTGTGGACTTGTTCAGGCAGTCACCAGAAGTTTTTTAAAAAGTTAACTTGAAATTAACACACACACACACACACACACACACAATTATTTAGCACTGGAACTTATAAAACCAGATCCTGTGCAGAATAATTCATACTACATTCTAACTGAAGGTTAATCAATTCCATGAGGGACTGGATTAAAAAGAAATGTTCTTTGAGAACTACATCCATGCATATTTTTTTGCAGTGTTATAAAACTGGCATCTTACCAATGCCTTCTTTGAAGATTCTTTTTAAGTTGCCAATCTAGCCAACATCCTATACTTTGCAGATAATCCCCCAAGTACTAATTATCAAAATTATACTGGATCTTGTGCAGTATAAATCCTGGTAGACAATCGATGGAATTGTTTCTGGATGAAATTCTATAGGATTCTCTGCTGAGTTGAAGTTGTATCCACTTAATCCTGAATTGGCAAATAACTAGCATGAATTTTGCTTCTCTCACTTTAGATGCATTCCTACCTTTCTGAAGACACTGGCAAACCACTTGAACTCCTTGAGAGGTAATAGGGTGAAAAGCCTAACAGATTTTATACACTTCGAGGGTACTGTAAATAGTGTCCAAGCTAGAGGAAAATATTATTTCAACAGATTTTTTCCAAAGACAAGACAAGACTTTTTCATTAATGGGCTAGAGATAAGCTAGAGATAATTTCATAGCAGAAAAAATATGTTGCTAGGGCATGTCTTTGCCACTGAAAATGCAAGTGAAAAAGTCTCTTAAAGGCCCTATGGAATGAGATCCATCCAAAGATCCATAAAGCTTCCATCCTAATAATGTTCCAGAAGTTTTTAAATGAGAGATCATCAAGGATCCCACAGTCTTTAAATTGCTTTATTACCACAGGTTTTTGCCACATTTGTGGCCATGTTTAAAGTTGGCAAAGGTCTTTTTAATTAGGCTGATTTTTTTTCCAGCAGTGTTAAAACTGAAGGGAAAAAACCCAGAATATTGCAGTATGTTCAAAATTTATTATGATATCTAAGGACTTTAGTTTGGTACTACACTCAGTAGACAAAAACAATTTCATCTAGTGCCAAGAATTATTATACCTAACTACTGGTAGTATACAAATAAAAACATATAGGTGTAACAAGATTTTAAGAAAGTACAGGTAGTCCTTGACTTATGACAATTGAACCCAAAATTTATGCTGCTCAGTGGGACATTTGTTAAATGAGTTTTGCCCCATTTTATGACCTTTCATGCCACAGTTTTTAAGTGAATCACTACAGTTGCTAAATTAGTTATATGGTTGTTAAGTGAATCTGTGTTCCCCATTGACTTTGCTTGTTAGAAGGTCATAAAAGGTGATCACATGACCCCGGGACACTGCAACCATCATAAATGTTGAGTAAGTTGGCAACTGTCTGAATTTTGATCATGCAATCATGGGAATGCTGCAATGGTTGTAAATGTGAAAAATGGTTATAAGTCACTTTTTCAGTGATGTTGTAACTTTGAACGGTCACTAAATGAACTGTTGTAAGTCAAGGACTGCATGTAGTGATATTTCTGTTCCAAAGGCTGAAGCTCAATGGTTGATCACTTCCTAAATTTCTAGAACTAGCCTGTAAAAGAAGATTTAACATAACTTTCTGCGAACTGGAGTTTTCCAATATATTAAACTATAATTTCCATAACCAAAGTCATCATGGTTATGCTTATTCTGACTAAAGTACACTACTGACACTGCATTCAGACCAAAAGTTTGAAACATCAGGTTGGAAAACATCTTTCATAGCAACCGACCCCAATTTTAATTTTTCATTAGCTTCATGGTAAGGTATTGGGGGGGGGTGTTTTATAAAAAGATCCAGTGTCTTTTAAGCTGAACCTGATGCCTGATGATTTCATATTATTGCTCATGTTGTTTCTTGGCAACTGGATGGCATTGTTT